GGCGGGGGGGCGGGGGGGAACCGGACCCGGGGGGGTGGGGTTTGGCCTCTATGGCTGCAGGACGAGAAAAGAGACACAGAACAACAGACTCAGTGGCAGAGAAGTAAAAAGGTATTTTAAAGGTATAATTAAAAATATAATATAATATATAATTAAAAATAATTCTCTATAATTATTTCTTCCACATAGTGAACTTTGCAATATAAATCTATGTCTAAGTCTGTTTGTGAAAGGAAAATTTAAATATGCTCTGCCTGGCCTTGTTGGAAAAGCATGGTTATCACTTTTACTCAGCTGTAGTAAAAGTATCGATACTAAAACGTTGTATCCTGATACGATACTCATTTTCTAAAGTCCCCCCCGCGCTCATTCTCTCTGATTTGTTTATTTACGTTGTTTATGATCATTAACTTGACGTTAGCCTTGAAAAGCTAACGTCAATAGCTCAGGGACTGCTCGTTGCCGCGGCAACAGCAGTCTGGCCAAGCTCAACATTCCAAACGTGTCAGTTGAGTCAACTGACACGTTTTGGCCGCTTGTTCGCCATTTATTCGGAAACGCCCGCTCCTTTGAGAAAGTTTTGAACAAGCACGCATGGCTAGGTGGGTCCGGACGCGCGGGCCGACTTTGGGCCCGATCCGTCGAACCGGAATAAGTATTCTGGACAGTAATAGGTGGGCCTGCCGCTGGCAGTGGCCCCCCTAATAACACGCCATAACATCAGTAACAGGTCAGTTTGAAACACACTAACCTGTCCAAATTCAGTTACATTTTTGGGTCTTTGTTGGTATCGAAAATGGTATAGAGTATTGAATATTTTCCTGAGTATCCGTATCGAGTTAAAAACTTTAGTATCGTGACAACCCTGTTGTTCAAATTGAAGTGAGGAGTAAGATACAGTTAAATAATATGATGGCTATTTTGTGTTGTCAGTATCGTGTCCAGATGCTCCTATTGTGCTAGTTTCTATACATTTATGGGGGTCGGAGGTCACTTCCACGGTAACTTTGGGGGTCGTGGGCTGAAAGGTTTGGGAACCCGGGCTTCAGATGAATGTTTAATGAAAATGATTCTGAGTAA